TTAATAGATGGCAGTTCAGTGAACCATTTCCATTTATGGGGGTTGTTCAATGGAAGTTTCAATGGAACTTCAATTAAAGTTTACAAAATAAAAATGTTGGTTGTGGGCCTAAATCCATAATGTGGACGTGATCTGCCACTTTCTGTGTGACCATCATGGCCACATGGGTTTACTGTAAACAAATGCCACTGTGTGTAATGTGGTCTAGTGTTATCACAGACAACACAACGGCATGGAGGACTGCAGGCAAAAAGTCTATATAAATCTGTTTTATCCTGTCCAACCAATGACCCCATGGGAAATTAATGGGAAATCTTAGATGCTTTTCCTTAGGATTTACAATAAACATGGATTTATTTTATATTTCTCATGCTAACATTGAAACCCTGGTGTTGAAAATGAACATATGCTGGAGGCTAGCTGGGCTGCAACATGATATCATAGGAAAACGTCATCCTGTCATGTTTTTGCAAGAAGTGTTGCATCAACCAATTGAAGCTTATGTCAATTGGCCATGCTCCCAACAGGCTTTGCGGTGCCAATGGGAAAATATGGGTGGCAACCATTTGATGCTTATGTCAATACATCACAGTCAATGGTAAAACATGAGTTTCCCAAGGTTGACGGCGCTTATGTCAATACATCGCAGTCAATGGGAAAATTAGTGTCAAAGTGTTGATGCTTATGTTAAAACATTGCGTTCAATGGGAAAAGAAGAGTCTCACAAGGCTTATGGGAAAAGTTGAGTGTCAACCACCCGAGTGGCGCTGTGGTCTAAAGCACTGCATCGCAGTGCTAACTGTGCCACTAGAGATCCTGGTTCGAATCCAGGCTCTGTCGTAGCCGGCCGCGACCGGGAGACTCATGGGCGGCGCACAATTGGCCCAGCGTCGTCCAGGGTAGGGGAGGGAATGGCCGGCAGGGATGTAGCTCAGTTGATAGAGCATGGCGTTTGCAACGCCAGGGTTGTGGGTTCGATTCCCACGGGGGGCCAGTATAAAAAAATATGTATTCACTAACTGTAAGTCGCTCTGGATAAGAGTGTCTGCTAAATGACTAAAATATAAATGTAAAATGTAACCAATTGACGCTTACAGTATGTCAGTACATTCCAGTCAATAGGAAAAGACATACAGACACACGTCTCTCTCGCTCTCTATTCTCTAATCCCCCTCTTCCTGTTTCTCTATTCTCTCTCCCTACTTCTTTCTCTCTCCTCCTATTCTCCCTCTGTCTCTTTCTCTCTCCATCCGCATCTTTCACCCCCTCCACCCTCTCCCCCTCTCTCCATCCTTCGCTCTCTTTTTCTCTCTCTCCCTCCCCTCCATCTCTCTCTTTCTCCCTCCCGCCCTCCCTCACCCTCACCCTCTCATCTCTCCCCCCTCTCACTCTTCTCTCCCCCCTTTGTCTGTCTGTTGACTCTCTCCCTCCCCTCCTTCCTCTCTCCCTCCTCCCTCTTTCACCCTCTCCCTTTCTCTCTCCCCCATTCTCTATCCCTCCTTCTTTCCCTCCCTCCCCATCTCTTCAACTCGCTCTGCCTCTCCCTCCCTCCCTCCTCTCTCCCAGCTCCACAGACAGGATATTGACCCATAAATATGTGTCAAGGCCATTAAAGGCAAAAAAGTTAGTGATACAGCTGCAATGGGTAAAATTGTGAAAAAGACAGACAGGCGGGCAGACAGACAGACAGACGCAGGTAAGCAGACAGACAGACAGACAGACAGTCAGAAAGTCGCAGGCAGACAGACAGACATAGGTAGGTAGGGAAGCAGGCACAAACAAAATCGTCACAGAATTCTGTCATAATATATGCGCAAACTGTTTTGACTGGGAAGCGTATGGTAAGCTTTAGAATTAATTGTGAAGAGGATATTGGTCTTTTTCTGATTGACTTGAAACTTGAAACTGTCTGTGCCTGTCTGCCTGTCAACCTCCCTACCTGCATCTGTCTGTCTGCGCCTGTCTGTTTGTGTCTGTCTGTCAAGCTGTCTAAGTTTTTCACCAATTTACCCATTGCAGCCGTATCACAATTTGTTTTGCCTTGAATGCAATGTGTTGACTTATGCATCAATGCCCTTGACGCATATTTATGCATAAATATCCTGTCTGTGGAGGTGAGAGAGAGGCGGGAGAGAGATATGAGAAGAGGGGTAGGGAGGGAGGGAAAGAAGGAGAGAAAGAGTGGAGGGGGAGTGAGAGAGAGAGAGAAGAGGGAGGGTGAAGGAGGGAGGGGAGAGAGAGTCAGACACAAGAGAGAGTCAACAGACATACAGGTGATAGAAAGGAAGGAGAGCGAGAAAGAGGGAGAGAAAGGGGAGAGGGTGGAGGGGGTGAAAGAAGGGGGGGAGAGAAAATGTGGGGGATGAAGAGGAGGTAGAGAAAAAGAGAGAGTCAAACAGAATGGGAGGGAGGGAGGGAGGGAGGGGATAAGAGAATAGAGAGCGAGAAAGACATGTCTGTCTGTGTCTCATCTTTTCATCTTTGACTGGAAATGTAATAACATAAGCTTCAACCCTGTGAAACTCATATGTTCCCATTGAATGCAATGTACTGACATAAGCATCAATTGGTTGACACTCATCTTTTATAATATAAATAATAATAATATGCCATTTAGCAGACGCTTTTATCCAAAGCGACTTACAGTCATGCGTGCATACATTTTTGTGTATGGGTGGTCCCGGGGATCGAACCCACTACCTTGGCGTTACAAGCGCCGTGCTCTACCAGCTGAGCTACAGAGGACCACTGCAACAAGGAACTAAAGTAATACTGCAAAAATGTGGCAAACTAATTCACTTTTTGTACTGAAAACAAAGTCTTATGTTTAGGGCAAATCCAATACAACACATTACTGAGTACCAATCTCCATATTTTCAAGCATAGTGGTGGCTGCATCATGTTATTGGTATGCTTGTAATCGTTAAGGACTGGGGAGTTTTTCAGGATAAAAAATAAATGGAATGGAGCTAATCACAGGCAAAATCCTAAAAGAAAAACCTGGTTCAGTCTGCTTTCCACCAGACACTGGGAGATTAATTCACCTTTCAGCAGGACAATAACCTAAAACACAAGGCCAAATCTACACTGGAGTTGCTTTTTCCTGAATGGCAGAGTTACAGTTCTGACTTAAATCTACTTGAAAATCTATAGCAAGACCTGAAAATGGTTGTCTAGCAATGATTAACAACCAATTTGACAGAGCTTGAAGAATTTTGAAAATAATAATGGGCAAATGTTGCACAATCCAGATGTGGAAAGCTCTTATAGACTTACCCAGAAATACTCTCAGCTGTAATCACTGCCAAAGGTATTCTACAAAGTATTGACTCACTGGGGTGTGAATACTTATGTAAATGAGATACTGTATTTACGTTTTCAATAAATTTGCTAACATTTCTAAAAACATGTTTTCACTTTGTCATTGTGGGGTATTGTGTGTAGATGGGTAAGAAAAATAATATGTCGAATCCATTTTGAATTCAGGCTGTAACACAAAATGTAGAATAAGTCAAGGGGTATAAATACTTTCTGCACTGTATATATTTTTTAAAGCCTTGACTCATGCTAACGGAATTCATGCTGTAGGCTAACCAGTTTCCAATAGGCTATCGTAAAGCCGAAAATTCAAGAAAGATGGCAGCTGTGTTGTTACCCCGCTTAACCTTTTCCTTGTGGAATGCTCCCATTATTTGGAGTTACTTGAGGAGAACGAGAACAACATTTTTGTCAAATGCAGGGGTGAAAGTAAGCCGGTACGGCATCCTGACAAAATAAGTAGTGGGTTTACGGCGTACCGGTAAAACATGAGCCTATCACAATTAACACAAAGTGCCCCCAAAAAACTATAGGCACCATGATTTAACATTACTGCATGTCAGCCGCATTAAAAATGAGTGATTTGACTTGAAACCGGTTGGTATAAGCTCCAAATTGCGTTGTGGTTTGACTAGAACACTTACATTTTGTCAAGGCGGAGATGAGTGGCCGAGACCGAGGCGTCCACGGACATCAGTGTAGACCTAATGACAAATCGCAGAATGTCATTACAATACATGTACAGTGGGGGAAAAAAATATTTAGTCAGCCACCAATTGTGCAAGTTCTCCCACTTAAAAAGATGAGAGATGCCTGTAATTTTCATCATAGGTATACGTCAACTATGACAGACAAAATGAGGAAAGAAAATCCAGAAAATCACATTGTAGGATTTTTTATGAATTTATTTGCAAATTATGGTGGAAAATAAGTATTTGGTCAATAACAAAAGTTTCTCAATACTTTGTTATATACCCTTTGTTGGCAATGACACAGGTCAAACGTTTTCTGTAAGTCTTCACAAGGTTTTCACACACTGTTGCTGGTATTTTGGCCCATTCCTCCATGCAGATCTCCTCTAGAGCAGTGATGTTTTGGGGCTGTCGCTGGGCAACACGGACTTTCAACTCCCTCCAAAGATTTTCTATGGGGTTGAGATCTGGAGACTGGCTAGGCCACTCCAGGACCTTGAAATGATTCTTACGAAGCCACTCCTTCGTTGCCCGGGCGGTGTGTTTGGGATCATTGTCATGCTGAAAGACCCAGCCACGTTTCATCTTCAATGCCCTTGCTGATGGAAGGAGGTTTTCACTCAAAATCTCACGATACATGGCCCCATTCATTCTTTCCTTTACACGGATCAGTCGTCCTGGTCCCTTTGCAGAAAAACAGCCCCAAAGCATGATGTTTCCACCCCCATGCTTCACAGTAGGTATGGTGTTCTTTGGATGCAACTCAGCATTCTTTGTCCTCCAAACACGACGAGTTGAGTTTTTACCAAAAAGTTATATTTTGGTTTCATCTGACCATATGACATTCTCCCAATCCTCTTCTGGATCATCCAAATGCACTCTAGCAAACTTCAGACGGGCCTAGACATGTACTGGCTTAAGCAGGGGGACAAGCAGGGGGAAGATCCCAAGAAATCTTTTTTTCAGGGATGCCTGCAGACCTCTGACCAGGCCACTCAGGAAACGAACTTGAGGCTTCAGCTTCTCAAGATGGTGATTGAGGGACAAGATGGATGGAACAACTGCACTGATTGTAATGACTTTCTCCCCCTGTGTCAAATCAGTTGCTTCTCCGAACGGTTTTAAGATGTCCACCAACTCCTTCAGCAGATTCCACTCTCGTGGTGTGAATGACAGTTCTTTATGCCCGGCCTTCTCAAGAACTGCGCAGAGCTTTTGCTGATCACAATGAAGGACTGCTTTTACCTGCCGCAGTGTGGAATTCCACCTCGTGCTCACTGCAGCAGGGATGCCTCTGTGCTCCCCAAATTCACCATCGAAGATGTCTTTAAACGTTGTGCTTGTGTGGAGCAGGGAGCTAAGTTTTGATAACTTGGAGAGAGAAGGACATGCCGCTTTTGTTTCTTTCAAACCGTCTCCCACAACCAGCTGCAATGTGTGTGCAAAACACTGCAGGCGCTGTTTCTTTGCCATAGCAGCATCGACGGTTTGCTGGTCTTCTTGGGTTAAGTCATGCCATAGCTCAGGATCATCAAGATTATCTCCAGCATCTTCATCTTCCTCCTGTTCGCTGGGGAAGCAGACTGTAAATGCCTTGCGCATGTTAGCAGCATTGTCACTAATTATATAGTCCAATTTAGCTTTGATGTTGTATTCATCACATATTGCCTCAAATTGGTCACAGATTCGCTCTGCTGTGTGAGAGCCTTTGAAGCGGTTGCAGGCCAAGAGATTAGTCTTTAGCTGTACCCTCTCTGCATCTCGCTCCATCCAGTGCACAGTGACACCAAGGAATCCCCTCATCTTTCGATCAGACCAAATGTCCACAGTGACTGAAACATGGTCAGTGTTGCTCAATTGAGTTTTTAACTTTGACCGTCTCTCCTCAGCAAGGCTCTCTGTTTTTGTGGTCAGCGTTCGGCGACATACTGGGGTATACTTGCTGTCCAGCACAGCCAGAAAGTGACGAAAGCTCTTATTTTCCACAATAGACAGAGGGAAATTGCAATCAATAATCAAGTCAGACAGTATCGCATTGGAGATGGCCTTCTGCTGTGGGTGGGTCAGGCTGTAACGCCCTACACGAGTGTCAAGGAATTGTGAGATTGAAGGCTGTTGTGGTTCATCTACGATGATTTTGTTCATCTGGTATTCTTCATACCTGTAACAGAGAAGAATATGAAACAGATGTCAGAAAATCCTTTACAGCCACACATGTTGTATTTGAAACTACTCTTTACTCATATCAATGTTGTTGTGTTAATATTCATTGCCTATTGTACACTACGGTTTACGATAATACATTTCAGTGTCAGTGTATGCAATATTAAGAATATTTTCACTGCTTCAAAATTCATAAGAAAGCCCTTTCCCTCAAGAAACTGAAGTCATATGCTTTATAGCAGTGGTTTTCAAAGTGGGGACGGGGACCCTTGGGTGCCGCGAGGGGGTTCTAGGGGGGCCATGGCAAGTTGGCATGAAAAGTATAGAAAAACAAAATAATTGAATAAATTAAATAACTAAAGTAAACCAAATTAAACCAAAAATAAGCTAAACAATATTCCCATTAGTTAAGAACTGCACTATAATAATCTATTGCATCTCTGAACATTACTACTATAATCGTTATTATTTTATTATATACTGTATATATCCCAGTGGTGCGCTGCCTCACAGACCTACTGTAGACTACGGTAGCACTCTGTCCATGCGCTGTCTGCTGTTTGGGCATGATATGAAAAGGGAAGGCTAATGGTGGATCTACTGTGACTGTGTTATCATTTTCCTCTTTACAATGTATACGTCTTACTATGTTTCCTGTTGTACTTGGATGGGTTTAGGGATGCACCAACTACATCCGAGTTGTGAAAGGGGGTGCATTCATTGTTTAATTGTGATATTTTGTCTTCAGCGACAGTTCAGCTTAGTTGTGATTAACCAAAATTACATAAACGACCTCAATGAGGCAGCACACCAGCAACTCTGAAACTGAATTCTAAAACGCTTAACGTGAAAAACGCTTAACGTTGCTTAATGCTTAATATACTAAGACAGTAATATTATAAGACCAAACTCTGCAAATATCATATTAATAAAGCATACTATGTACAAAACATCAGATGAGCCCAGAATACATAGTAGCCTACATAAGACATGTTAAGCCTTTTCTTATAATGGTTTTCTATGGGAGGAAAACACTTAACGTGTTGTTAAACGTGTTTGCGTTCATATTCTGGCCTCATCTGATGTTTTGTACATTTAGTATACTTTATTAATCTGATATTTATAGTTTGGTCTTTTAATATTACTGTCTCAGTATATTAAGACACGTTAAGCCTTTTCTTATAATAGTTTTCTATGGGAGGAAAACGCAACGTGTTATTAAACGTGTTTGCGTTCATATTCTGGGCTCATCTGATGTTTTGTACATAGTATACTTTATTAATATGATATTTACAGAGTTTGGTCTTTTAATAACACTGTCTTAGTACATTAAAGAACGTTAAGCGTTTTTCACGAAAGCGTTTTAGAATGTCCATATAATAGCAGTTCAAAAATCCATATTTTTGTAAGCATGAACCAGCAAGGGAGACGTGCGTTTGTCTCGTTGATACAGTAAATATGCAGCAGCTAGCTAGTAAGTTACGGTACATCCGATAAGGTGCGTAGCATTCGTTCAAAACTTACCTTTCTTTGTGCAACTTCAGGTGTCGAACAAAGTTGGACGTTGTGGCAGCTCCGTCTGTAATCTTCGATCCGCATGTTTTGCAGATTGCAACTCGTTTTTTGTCGACTACCTCGTAATTTTTATAGCCAAACCAAACTATCTTCGGTATCATTTTGACAACTGGCGCGTTGTTGCTTGATGTGCTTCATTGGTTGTCTTGCAATGTGCCTGCTTAGATGCTGTCGAATCAAAACAACGTGGGACTACAGTGATTGGATAACGTGCAGGCAGCGCGCGCTCTCTGTATGCATACAGGTGGATGGTGCACATTTTTTTCACAGATGCAGATAAACGGAGAGCGGCACGGCCGTGTGAAAATTTTTTTCCCCAGTTTTCATGGGAAGTAGCAAGTCTTCTCGAGTCATAAGGCGCAAGTCCAAGTGAAGTCACGAGTCATTGATGTTAAAGTCCAAGTCGAGTTGCAAGTCTTTGTACATTTTGTCGAGTCGAGTCTGAAGTCATCAAATTCATGACTCGAGTCTGACTCGAGTCCAAGTCACATGACTCGAGTCCACACCTCTGGTACTTGGTGGCAAAACCCTTGTTGGCAATCACAGAGGTCAGACGTTTCTTGTAGTTGGCCACCAGGTTTGCACACATCTCAGGAGGGATTTTGTCCCACTCCTCTTTGCAGATCTTCTCCAAGTCATTAAGGTTTTGAGGCTGACGTTTGGCAACTCAAACCTTCAGCTCCCTCCACAGATTTTCTATGGGATAAAGGTCTGGAGACTGGCTAGGCCACTCCAGGACCTTAATGTGCTTCTTCTTGAGCCACTCCTTTGTTGCCTTGGCCGTGTGTTTTAGGTCATTGTCATGCTGGAATACCCATCCACGACCCATTTTCAATGCACTGGCTGAGGGAAGGAGGTTCTCACCCAAGATTTGACGGTACATGGCCCCGTCCATCGTCCCTTTGATGCGGGGAAGTTGTTCTGTCCCCTTAGCAGAAAAACACCCCCAAAGCATAATGTTTCTACCTCCTTGTTTGACGGTGGGGATGGTGTTCGTGGGGTCATAGGCAACATTCCTCCTCCTCCAAACACGGCGAGTTGAGTTGATGCCAAAGAGCTCGATTTTGGTCTCATCTGACCACAACACTTTCACCCAGTTCTCCTCTGAATCATTCAGATGTTCATTGGCAAACTTCAGACGGGCCTGTATATGTGCTTTCTTGAGCAGGGGGACCTTGCGGGCGCTGCAGGATTTCAGTCCTTCACGACGTAGTGTGTTACCAATTGTTTTCTTGGTGACTATGGTCCCAGCTACCTTGAGATCATTGACAAGATCATCCCGTGTAGTTCTGGGCTGATTCCTCACCGTTCTCATGATCATTGCAACTCCACGAGGTGAGATCTTGCATGGAGCCCCAGGCCGAGGGAGATTGACAGTTATTTTGTGTTTCTTCCATTTGCAAATAATCGCACCAACTGTTGTCACCTTCTCACCAAGCTGCTTGGCGATGGTCTTGTAGCCCATTCCAGCCTTGTGTAGGTCTACAATCGTGTCCCTGACATCCTTGGAGAGCTCTTTGGTCTTGTCCATGGTGGAGAGTTTGGAATCTGATTGATTGATTGCTTCTGTGGACAGGTGTCTTTTATACAGGTAACAAACTGAGATTAGGAGCACTCCCTCCCTTAGTGTGCTCCTAATCTCAGCTCGTTACCTGTATAAAATACACCTGGGAGATAGAAATCTTTCTGATTGAGAGAAGGTCAAATACTTATTTCCCTCATTAAAATGCAAATCAATTTATAACATTTTTGACATGCGTTTTTCTGGATTTTTTTGTTGTTATTCTGTCTCTCACTGTTCAAATAAACCTACCATTAAAATTATAGACTGATCATTTCTTTGTCAGTGGGCAAACGTACAAAATCAGCAGGGGATCAAATACTTTTTTCCCTCACTGTATATATTACCTCCATTTCATCTTGTACCCCTGCACATTGACTTGGTACCGGTACTCCTTGTATATAGCCTCGTTATTGTTATTTTAGTACCATTTCCTTTTTTTGTATTACTTTTTTCTTACTTGTTGTATTTGGCGCATGTGACAAATACGATTTATTTCATTCAACATACAGTATATTGCTAAGAATGTGAGAGTAGGGTGACTCCTCTAGCAGGTCTCCAACCTAGGCCACCAGCACCAATGACAAATGCCCTATCCACAGTCCCAATAAAGGATATCTCTAGGACATGTGCTTATTGGGCCAGTATAGTTAGGCCCTGTCCAGAAGAAACCCTAACCCCTCTTCCCTAGGCACTTGTGTAGATCTCAAACAACTTGATAGGTGTAAGTAATAGGGTGAATGCAGTTTGAAGTAAATCTCAGCTCTGTTAAAAGTACACTCAAAAAAATATTTTATTGATTCAGGAGTATCATTAAAACAGGTTAATACACCCCACCAACATACAACTATACAGAAAGCCCTTAAATTGTTTAAATAAGTAAATAAAATCAATGCTGAGAATAGTCAGATGAACTAATACCTGACATGGTGGCGTAGCAGGAAGACCAGAGCACCGTCAACCAAAAGGTTGAGAGTTTAAATCCCAAGTGAGTACGTTGAATAATAATTACTTCATAAATGAACATGCACAATGTAATCAGGTATGTCAAATATGTAAAGCTGAAAACACTATGTTAAATGCACTGTGTGTGTGAGTATCCCTAACATTGCCAACAGACAAATAGCTATGAATGGATCAGTGGTTAAAAGGGAAACTTTAGGATTTTGGCAATGATGTCCTTTATCTACTTCCCCAGAGTCAGATGAGCTTGTGGATACCATTTCTAAGTCTATGTGTCCAGTATGAAGGAAGTTAGAGGTAGTTTCGTGAGCCAATGCTAACTAGCGTTAGCGCAATGACTGGAAGTCTATGGGTATCTGCTTACATGCTAACGCTCAGAAAACTGGAATGTTCTTGCAACGTTCTCATAAAACTTGTCTAGAACATTAATATCTTATGTTCTAAGAACATGGCAGCCATGTTCTGTGTATGTTTGGTGGGACGTTCATGGAACATTCTCCTAATCCACAGAACTGGACACAAGTGTTCTTGCAACTTTCCCATGAAACTTGTCTAGAACATTAATATTGTAAGTTCTGAGAACATGGTAACCACATTGTGGGTAAGTCCTATTTGACATTAAGGTAATGGTCTCATGGAAATATTCCTTGCACATCACAGGAACAATCCTATGAAAATGTTAATGACCTAATGACACCCTTAAGGGAATGTTTGTTGTTAGCAGGGCGTATAAAGGTTGTTTAAAAGTTGTGAACCCATAATAGGTCAGTTTGGTGACATTCAGGGTGTACCAGAGTGACACACTTCATTAGGTAAACACACCACACACACACTTCATGAGGTAAACACACCACACACACACTTCATGAGGTAAACACACCACACACACACTTCATGAGGTAAACACACCACACACACACTTCATTAGGTAAGCACACCACACACACACTTCATTAGGTAAACACACCACACACACACTTCATGAGGTAAACACACCACACACACACTTCATTAGGTAAGCACACCACACACACACACTTCATTAGGTAAACACACCACACACACACTTCATTAGGTAAGCACACCACACACACACTTCATTAGGTAAACACACAACACACACACTTCATTAGGTAAACACACCACACACACACTTCATTAGGTAAACACACCACACACACACTTCATTAGGTAAACACACCACACACACACTTCATTAGGTAAGCTATACTAAGAGTCCGGGCCTTTAGAAGAACATATTCACTCTGAAGCCTTTGAAGGTCAGAGTGTGCAGCTATCGTCACCTACACCTAATTTATATGGCCTTTATTTGTGTGTTTGCATGTGTGTGTGTTCAGGACAGTTTGAGTTTCTACTAAGCTCTACCTAAGTCAAGTGTGCTGAATGCAACACTGAAATGAGTTTCTCAACCCGAGTACTTTCTCTATTGGTTCACTCCCACTCAGGTAGCAGGCGTGCATCTGCATATCCTTATTTTGTTAATCATCGTATTGTCCGTGGCCGGCCATATGAATGTTTTACACACACATGAGCGAGAGTACATAGTACATATATTTAGCTCCCCTTCTACCATTAATAAGTGTAGTTATTGTGTGACGAAAGCTCTTATTTTCCACAATAGACAGAGGGAAATTGCAATCAATAATCAAGTCAGACAGTATCGCATTGGAGATGGCCTTCTGCTGTGGGTGGGTCAGGCTGTAACGCCCTACACGAGTGTCAAGGAATTGTGAGATTGAAGGCTGTTGTGGTTCATCTACGATGATTTTGTTCATCTGGTATTCTTCATACCTGTAACAGAGAAGAATATGAAACAGATGTCAGAAAATCCTTTACAGCCACACATGTTGTATTTGAAACTACTCTTTACTCATATCAATGTTGTTGTGTTAATATTCATTGCCTATTGTACACTACGGTTTACGATAATACATTTCAGTGTCAGTGTATGCAATATTAAGAATATTTTCACTGCTTCAAAATTCATAAGAAAGCCCTTTCCCTCAAGAAACTGAAGTCATATGCTTTATAGCAGTGGTTTTCAAAGTGGGGACGGGGACCCTTGGGTGCCGCGAGGGGGTTCTAGGGGGGCCATGGCAAGTTGGCATGAAAAGTATAGAAAAACAAAATAATTGAATAAATTAAATAACTAAAGTAAACCAAATTAAACCAAAAATAAGCTAAACAATATTCCCATTAGTTAAGAACTGCACTATAATAATCTATTGCATCTCTGAACATTACTACTATAATCGTTATTATTTTATTATATACTGTATATATCCCAGTGGTGCGCTGCCTCACAGACCTACTGTAGACTACGGTAGCACTCTGTCCATGCGCTGTCTGCTGTTTGGGCATGATATGAAAAGGGAAGGCTAATGGTGGATCTACTGTGACTGTGTTATCATTTTCCTCTTTACAATGTATACGTCTTACTATGTTTCCTGTTGTACTTGGATGGGTTTAGGGATGCACCAACTACATCCGAGTTGTGAAAGGGGGTGCATTCATTGTTTAATTGTGATATTTTGTCTTCAGCGACAGTTCAGCTTAGTTGTGATTAACCAAAATTACATAAACGACCTCAATGAACAAAGTTGGACGTTGTGGCAGCTCCGTCTGTAATCTTCGATCCGCATGTTTTGCAGATTGCAACTCGTTTTTTGTCGACTACCTCGTAATTTTTATAGCCAAACCAAACTATCTTCGGTATCATTTTGACAACTGGCGCGTTGTTGCTTGATGTGCTTCATTGGTTGTCTTGCAATGTGCCTGCTTAGATGCTGTCGAATCAAAACAACGTGGGACTACAGTGATTGGATAACGTGCAGGCAGCGCGCGCTCTCTGTATGCATACAGGTGGATGGTGCACATTTTTTTCACAGATGCAGATAAACGGAGAGCGGCACGGCCGTGTGAAAAATTTTTTCCCCAGTTTTCATGGGAAGTAGCAAGTCTTCTCGAGTCATAAGGCGCAAGTCCAAGTGAAGTCACGAGTCATTGATGTTAAAGTCCAAGTCGAGTTGCAAGTCTTTGTACATTTTGTCGAGTCGAGTCTGAAGTCATCAAATTCATGACTCGAGTCTGACTCGAGTCCAAGTCACATGACTCGAGTCCACACCTCTGGTACTTGGTGGCAAAACCCTTGTTGGCAATCACAGAGGTCAGACGTTTCTTGTAGTTGGCCACCAGGTTTGCACACATCTCAGGAGGGATTTTGTCCCACTCCTCTTTGCAGATCTTCTCCAAGTCATTAAGGTTTTGAGGCTGACGTTTGGCAACTCAAACCTTCAGCTCCCTCCACAGATTTTCTATGGGATAAAGGTCTGGAGACTGGCTAGGCCACTCCAGGACCTTAATGTGCTTCTTCTTGAGCCACTCCTTTGTTGCCTTGGCCGTGTGTTTTAGGTCATTGTCATGCTGGAATACCCATCCACGACCCATTTTCAATGCACTGGCTGAGGGAAGGAGGTTCTCACCCAAGATTTGACGGTACATGGCCCCGTCCATCGTCCCTTTGATGCGGGGAAGTTGTTCTGTCCCCTTAGCAGAAAAACACCCCCAAAGCATAATGTTTCTACCTCCTTGTTTGACGGTGGGGATGGTGTTCGTGGGGTCATAGGCAACATTCCTCCTCCTCCAAACACGGCGAGTTGAGTTGATGCCAAAGAGCTCGATTTTGGTCTCATCTGACCACAACACTTTCACCCAGTTCTCCTCTGAATCATTCAGATGTTCATTGGCAAACTTCAGACGGGCCTGTATATGTGCTTTCTTGAGCAGGGGGACCTTGCGGGCGCTGCAGGATTTCAGTCCTTCACGACGTAGTGTGTTACCAATTGTTTTCTTGGTGACTATGGTCCCAGCTACCTTGAGATCATTGACAAGATCATCCCGTGTAGTTCTGGGCTGATTCCTCACCGTTCTCATGATCATTGCAACTCCACGAGGTGAGATCTTGCATGGAGCCCCAGGCCGAGGGAGATTGACAGTTATTTTGTGTTTCTTCCATTTGCAAATAATCGCACCAACTGTTGTCACCTTCTCACCAAGCTGCTTGGCGATGGTCTTGTAGCCCATTCCAGCCTTGTGTAGGTCTACAATCGTGTCCCTGACATCCTTGGAGAGCTCTTTGGTCTTGTCCATGGTGGAGAGTTTGGAATCTGATTGATTGATTGCTTCTGTGGACAGGTGTCTTTTATACAGGTAACAAACTGAGATTAGGAGCACTCCCTCCCTTAGTGTGCTCCTAATCTCAGCTCGTTACCTGTATAAAATACACCTGGGAGATAGAAATCTTTCTGATTGAGAGAAGGTCAAATACTTATTTCCCTCATTAAAATGCAAATCAATTTATAACATTTTTGACATGCGTTTTTTCTGGATTTTTTTGTTGTTATTCTGTCTCTCACTGTTCAAATAAACCTACCATTAAAATTATAGACTGATCATTTCTTTGTCAGTGGGCAAACGTACAAAATCAGCAGGGGATCAAATACTTTTTTCCCTCACTGTATATATTACCTCCATTTCATCTTGTACCCCTGCACATTGACTTGGTACCGGTACTCCTTGTATATAGCCTCGTTATTGTTATTTTAGTACCATTTCCTTTTTTTGTATTACTTTTTTCTTACTTGTTGTATTTGGCGCATGTGACAAATACGATTTATTTCATTCAACATACAGTATATTGCTAAGAATGTGAGAGTAGGGTGACTCCTCTAGCAGGTCTCCAACCTAGGCCACCAGCACCAATGACAAATGCCCTATCCACAGTCCCAATAAAGGATATCTCTAGGACATGTGCTTATTGGGCCAGTATAGTTAGGCCCTGTCCAGAAGAAACCCTAACCCCTCTTCCCTAGGCACTTGTGTAGATCTCAAACAACTTGATAGGTGTAAGTAATAGGGTGAATGCAGTTTGAAGTAAATCTCAGCTCTGTTAAAAGTACACTCAAAAAAATATTTTATTGATTCAGGAGTATCATTAAAACAGGTTAATACACCCCACCAACATACAACTATACAGAAAGCCCTTAAATTGTTTAAATAAGTAAATAAAATCAATGCTGAGAATAGTCAGATGAACTAATACCTGACATGGTGGCGTAGCAGGAAGACCAGAGCACCGTCAACCAAAAGGTTGAGAGTTTAAATCCCAAGTGAGTACGTTGAATAATAATTACTTCATAAATGAACATGCACAATGTAATCAGGTATGTCAAATATGTAAAGCTGAAAACACTATGTTAAATGGACTGTGTGTGTGAGTATCCCTAACATTGCCAACAGACAAATAGCTATGAATGGATCAGTGGTTAAAAGGGAAACTTTAGGATTTTGGCAATGATGTCCTTTATCTACTTCCCCAGAGTCAGATGAGCTTGTGGATACCATTTCTAAGTCTATGTGTCCAGTATGAAGGAAGTTAGAGGTAGTTTCGTGAGCCAATGCTAACTAGCGTTAGCGCAATGACTGGAAGTCTATGGGTATCTGCTTACATGCTAACGCTCAGAAAACTGGAATGTTCTTGCAACGTTCTCATAAAACTTGTCTAGAACATTAATATCTTATGTTCTAAGAACATGGCAGCCATGTTCTGTGTATGTTTGGTGGGACGTTCATGGAACATTCTCCTAATCCACAGAACTGGACACAAGTGTTCTTGCAACTTTCCCATGAAACTTGTCTAGAACATTAATATTGTAAGTTCTGAGAACATGGTAACCACATTGTGGGTAAGTCCTATTTGACATTAAGGTAATGGTCTCATGGAAATATTCCTTGCACATCACAGGAACAATCCTATGAAAATGTTAATGACCTAATGACACCCTTAAGGGAATGTTTGTTGTTAGCAGGGCGTATAAAGGTTGTTTAAAAGTTGTGAACCCATAATAGGTCAGTTTGGTGACATTCAGGGTGTACCAGAGTGACACACTTCATTAGGTAAACACACCACACACACACTTCATGAGGTAAACACACCACACACACACTTCATGAGGTAAACACACCACACACACACTTCATGAGGTAAACACACCACACACACACTTCATTAGGTAAGCACACCACACACACACTTCATTAGGTAAACACACCACACACACACTTCATGAGGTAAACACACCACACACACACTTCATTAGGTAAGCACACCACACACACACACTTCATTAGGTAAACACACCACACACACACTTCATTAGGTAAGCACACCACACACACACTTCATTAGGTAAACACACCACACACACACTTCATTAGGTAAACACACCACACACACACTTCATTAGGTAAACACACCACACACACACTTCATTAGGTAAACACACCACACACACACTTCATTAGGTAAGCTATACTAAGAGTCCGGGCCTTTAGAAGAACATATTCACTCTGAAGCCTTTGAAGGTCAGAGTGTGCAGCTATCGTCACCTACACCTAATTTATATGGCCTTTATTTGTGTGTTTGCATGTGTGTGTGTTCAGGACAGTTTGAGTTTCTACTAAGCTCTACCTAAGTCAAGTGTGCTGAATGCAACACTGAAATGAGTTTCTCAACCCGAGTACTTTCTCTATTGGTTCACTCCCACTCAGGTAGCAGGCGTGCATCTGCATATCCTTATTTTGTTAATCATCGTATTGTCCGTGGCCGGCCATATGAATGTTTTACACACACATGAGCGAGAGTACATAGTACATATATTTAGCTCCCCTTCTACCATTAATAAGTGTAGTTATTGTGTAAAAACAATGAGTCAATAACTAGGACTCCACCC